AGTGGAAAAAACCAAGCTGCCCTCCAGGCCTCCCTTCAGGGCAAGGCATCCTGGCCTCTGCCACAAGCCTGGGGCACCTTCCTCTCTAGGTGGCTGACACCCCTCGGCTGCCTCGTTTTTTTGCTACCCACATACAGGGGACAGAGGTGCGGTGATGGCCTGCTACTCTATCTTCTGAAGAGCACAAAGCACTAAATGTTCTACACAGGACCAGCTTCATGGTGTGACCTGTGAGTCACACAGAGTACCACATTCAGAAGGGCCTTGTGCTTGGTTTAATGCTGTGCTGAAGCTGTCTTAAAACTATTTTTCAACAAAGGGCACTGTATTTTAATTTTGCACTGGACCTCACAAATTATGTAGCTGGTCCTGGGTCTAGGACAGGACATGGTACTGTGGTGGGCTTGGGGGACTTTCTCCCTCTGGCAGTGGACCCTGGGCCTATTGCCACCTTTGTAATCGAGTCTAGAACTAAAGCTAACCTCAAATCAGACTTTGAATATTTGTATTATAAAGTCCCCTGCAGAGTGAGCAGAGAAGGCAGCTGCCTCCAGGGTGATGTGGGGGCTGGGGAAGCAGATCCTGTCCTTCCTTTATTCCTGGATCCTGAGATGCTCCCCAAGTTTAGGGCCTACCCAAGATGCTAGCATGTGAAGGTTGCATTATCAGCTGCTTTCATTGGCCTTTTGGGACATCAAGAAAGACAGAAAATTCACAAGTGAATTTTAGTAATGCTCGAAGAACAGACAGAGGCACGTCCTGTGGCCATCGTGCCCACTCTTGAGCGTGGGCGATGGTCACGGGAGATACGCTCTGAGCTGTTTTCCCAGCAAGTGGAAAAAACCAAGCTGCCCTCCAGGCCTCCCTTCAGGGCAAGGCATCCTGGCCTCTGCCACAAGCCTGGGGCACCTTCCTCTCTAGGTGGCTGACACCCCTCGGCTGCCTCGTTTTTTTGCTACCCACATACAGGGGACAGAGGTGCGGCGATGGCCTGCTACTCTATCTTCTGAAGAGCACAAAGCACTAAATGTTCTACACAGGACCAGCTTCATGGTGTGACCTGTGAGTCACACAGAGCCCCACATTCAGAAGGGCCTTGTGCTTGGTTTAATGCTGTGCTGAAGCTGTCTTAAAACTATTTTTCAACACAGGGCACTGTATTTTAATTTTGCACTGGACCTCACAAATTATGTAGCTGGTCCTGGGTCTAGGACAGGACATGGTACTGTGGTGGGCTTGGGGGACTTTCTCCCTCTGGCAGTGGACCCTGGGCCTATTGCCACCTTTGTAATCGAGTCTAGAGGTGCACACTTGAGTGGTCTTCTTTTGCTGAGCCCTGGCAAGACAAAATGTTTTCACTAATAATACAAAACTGGTTAATGTCTTATAAGGACATAAAACTGCAACTTTGAGGTTATCTTTTTTACCAGTCAGAAATCCACAAGTCAACATAACTTTATAGTGTCTAGGCTCTAATCAAATAGTAAACAGAAAATCCAAGCATGGGTGCATTCTAGATAACTAAATATTTCTTAGATGATCTTATTAAACAACATTGACAAGACATGTGGTCATTTATTTCCAAGTTTGGGAGGATCTTCCTTAACAATACTGTACTTTGCTTATCTTACAAGTTTGTGGCGAGGATCAAATGAGAACACATTAAAGGGCTTTGTAAACTGGAAGGTGACAAATTTAATTATTATGATTATTTTACACAGCCCCTGAATCATATATTGGAATTAATATTGACACGGGAAGGAAGGAGGGAGCTAATTATTGAATACAGTACCTATTTTTTAAAATATTGTTTTTATCTCATTTAATTCTTACAAAAAGACTGAAAAGACACAGAACCTGCTTCAGTTTCTCTGCCTGTAATATCAGGATAATAACAGCACCTACTTCATTGGGCTATTGTGAGAAATAATGAGTGATACAAACTTACCGCAAAAAACAGAGCCTGGTATACAGTAAACACACAAATGTCGGTTTACTATGTGCCTAACCTGCTATTGGAACACATTTACTGAAGTTTATTTTTATTTAATAATAATATGTTTCATTTCTGGAAGTTCTACTTGATTCTTAGTTCTTTCACAAATCTGATCTTATTTTTTAAATAATGCCTTATTCTTGTCTTGTGCTTCAAGTTCCTTTTTGTCTTTAATCTTTCTAAACACACTTATAGTTTTTCATCAGTGCTACTGTTACATAAAATGTTGTGTGTCTAATCTTGCCAATTGTTAATTCTGATCCTCATTTATGGAGGTTTTTTTTTTTCTTTTTAAAAGACTTATGTGGGAGGGGGAGGGAGAGGGGGATAGGTAGAGATTGGACAAAGGGCATAAAGAATAAGTACAATTTGTAACAATATACATACTAGTAATATTGATTTGATCAACATATGTCAACATTGAATTCCAAAAATACATATAATCAATTATGATTCAATAAAATAATTAATTAATTAATTAAAAAAATAAAAGACTTATTAGCTCCTCTAACTCCACATACACACTTGCAAAATAAATCTTAGTCCTTACAGTTAATTTTTTAAATTATAGATGGTTAACTAGAGATGTCTGAGTTCTTCAGACCCACTGGAAGCAGAGGAACGACGGTACGTACCATCATTACATTGTGAAGAGAATGCCACCCTTTTCTGGATTTTTATTTTATATCACATTGATTTGCAGTTTGGCTCGATTCACAGCTGAAATCAGTTGCAGTTCTGTATTTTTGGGTTATTCCCCTACCCTGGACACCAGTGTTCATTTTGATGACTGTCCCATTTCATAATGAAAGTACAGCTCTGGGCCAGTTACCTCTTTTCTGTGTTATGATTCTCTCCTCTGGGAAAGGGATAACAGGGATGTGTAGAACTCTATGACCATACACCACAGTGCCCGCTGCAGTGCAAGCACTCTGTGCCAACCTTTATTAGTGTCATTTTTCTTTGCACTGACCTTTCCCACTAACATTTATATTTCCAAGTCAAATGTAGCTCGATACTATAACCATCATAACAATGTACTCACGCTTAACTCCTGCCCTTTCCATAGTGTTCCCCTAATCTGACTGCCTGGTTTGTCCATCCTCATTTTTTCTGGCTTTCCTGTGTCCCCTATCCACACCACGGTCACTCATGTCCCTATCTAGATGGCGTTTTCCCAGTCTCAACAACCCCATTCCTTTGGGTCTCTAACCAAATCATCTCTCCATCTTTCAGAGCTCAATTAAAGTTCCATGTCCTTTATGAAGGCTTTTGACCAAGCTAAATCCAAGCTAATCTTTCTTTTTTGAATTCAAAAGTCTTCATGGGGAGTACCAAAGAGTGTAGCTTCCTCAGGATTTGGTGTCTTCGTTCGTGGTGTGCCTGTGGGTGTCATCCTAACTAGACTGAACATTTTCCTAAAGTAAAGACCACGGCACATATCTGGTGTGTGTAATGCCACCAATTTCAAGTAGGTGCTTCTCATGTATTTTCAATGTTTGGCTTTTTAGCATCTATTTGGTGGGAATTTGAGGCTTGGTTTGTGGTTATATCTCTCCACAAAATGGGTATTCTTATTTCAATTTTATAGATGAGGAATCTGAGAAACTGGAACTCAGGCTGGTGAAGGGGTTGGTTCCAAAAGCCACGCAGTATAAATGATGCATCTGGGATTCTAACTCAGGTTCTTTGTCATCCCAGGCTTTGGGATCAGAGGGCTACTTAAATGCAGATGATAATGTTTACCTCCCTAGATTCTTTTTGTTTTTTATTGAGGTGAAACTCACATGATATACAATTTTCCATTTTAAAGTGAATGATTCAGTGGTATTTAGTGCATTCTGAATGTTGCACAACCACCACTTATATTTTCAAAACTTTTCATTACCCTCTCCTGGGTTTTTGTGCAGAAGAGATAATGTGTATAAGGCAGCCAGCTCAGGGTCTTGCCCCTAGTAGGGGTAAAATGCATGGCAGCCTGAGCCTGGATCTTCAGACTCTCTCTAGCTTTTTCTCAGTAACCTGCTGATGTAGAAATAGGAATTCTTTCCTCAATTTGGCACCTTCAGAAAATCAGGTTGAGATTATGTAAGGTATTCACATCCCAATCTTTTTTTTTTTTCAAAATGACATGTCAAAATTGCTCTCTTCCAGGAAATTTTTCTAAAGGAGCCTCTCCTATTCTCTAAAGCAATCAGACACATTTACCCACTGAAGCCCCAGTACTTAATTGCACACTGTCATGCAGCTTCTTGGGTTTTTTTTGAAGGAGTTTGTCTTCTCGGCCAGGCTCGGACATGCACAAACTTGGAGGCATCACAATGCTCTGCATTGTCCTGGGTACCAAACAGTGCTTAGCAGGTATGTGTAGGATTGAATTGAATGGTAGCCAGCTAGCTTCACAATTCTAGCCACCACCTGGTGACCAGCATTCTTCCTACCTTTGAAATAGTGGGTTTGGCAGCGATGTGCTGAGTGTGGTGCTGAGATGGCACCTGCTGGGACTGGTCTGGACTCCGGTCTGCTGTCACTTGGAAACCTCTGCCTGAGACAGGCCACGAAAGGCTTTGGCTCCTCTGCCTGTGCCACACAGCAGAGGGAAGGTGAGCGCTTCAAGTGAGCTAACCCAAGAATAGAGCAGCTTTGGCCTTTATTTAAATGTGCCAATTCCGGGAACCTAGATCTGGGAAAAGACCAGGCCCTAAGCTGTTGCGATGGTCCCTTTGGCCCTCTATGTCACCAGGTATTGAAGCAAGTCTGTCTGCGGTGGCCAGGAGTGGCTGTATTAGAGGGGCCAGTGAGGAGTGTGGCTGGGGAATTTGGGGTGAGGACCTGCACACAGGGGCCTAGAGGCCCTCGGCGTCCAGGCTCGCTGGAGGATCTTGCTTCTAGCCGCCTCTCTTAGAGGGGCCAGTGAGGAGTGTGGCTGGGGAATTTGGGGTGAGGACCTGCACGCAGGGGCCTAGAGGCCCTCGGCGTCCAGGCTCGCTGGAGGATCTTGCTTCTAGCCGCCTCTCATGCCAACCACGCCCATGATCACAGCACCAGCTAGAAGGCCAGCTCCTCCCGCCAGTGGGACAGCCCAGTAGATTATCTTGGGGATTTTCCGAGTCTGGTCCGGGAGGAGCCGACTGTTCCGCAGAGTGTAGAGGTAGGGGTTCTCCTGTGCAGGAGGAGAGGAGGGTCGGAGGTTACTGGCCTCCGTCAGCCATCCGTCTGCTTTCTAAGACCTGCTTAGTCCCATCCCTGAGATAGTGCATAGCCTCGCACATCTGCACAGCTCTGCCCAACCTACAGGATGGGCATCTGACGTGGTCAACACCCAACTGTAACCCCCTTCTCACTTCTCACCAGCATTTCCTTTCCTGCCAAAGCTAATTTTGAAAGATTGGGAACTGATAGGTGACCAGTGGAAGAGAATCCTGGGGATCTGGGAGAGCCCCCACCTCTGTCTCCTCCCGGTCACTACTGGACAACTGTTCCATCATCCCATCCCAGGAGTACCCAGGGGTCAGGGAAGGTCAATGGGGCAGAATGGCTGGTTCTGCTAGAGATCGAAGAACCCAAAATGAGACGGGCAGGGAGAGGTGGCATTTGGGCTGCCTCCTGGGTTCTCTCCTTCCTCCCACCTCTCCACTTTCCTCTCTCTCAGTGAACATTAATTGAGCACCTGCTGTGTTGAGCCCCGTGCTAGGAGCTGTGATGAGCACCTGAGGGTTAAGACATGTTGTCTTCTCTCATTGTCCAATAGGGAGATGACACGTGTACAGAAACAGTCACATCGTAAAGGAGAATGGGTCAGTGTCGTGGGAGGGTACAAACAGAAGAGAGAGACCATGTGTGTCTGGGGGCAGGAATGGTATGGTAAGATAAGGTGGAACTGCAGCCCAGAGAGGGCAGCATCTGGGTCTGAAAGGAGGTGGACATTTTTATAGGCAGAGATGTGAGGGGTGACCCTCCCGGAGGAGCAAATGGCAAAAATAAAGGCACAGATGTGGGCAATCGTGGGGCTTGTCTGGGAAGTGGTCCATTTGCTGGGAGTGTAGAGAGTGTATCACAGAAGGAGGGGACGCTCCCTGCTGGACTCTGGTCAATAGGCAGTGGGGACCAGGCAAAGCTCTCTGGCAGCCTTGACAGGACTGGAATTGCTTTCCAGGAAGGCTGATCTGTGTCTGGCAGCAAGTGCAGGATGGATGGAGAATGGAAGGGGGAGAGGAGAGCTGGAGAGACAAGTGAGGGCCTCTGTCAGTGGTCCAGGTGCGGACAGTGGGCATGGCCAGGGAGGAGGAGGACGACTGTAGGCTCCAAGACAGACACTGTGTCTTATCTTTGCCCCTGCAGTCCTCAGCTCCTTGGACAGTGCCTGGCATGGGAGAGTTCCTGGACACATGTTTAAGATCGAAGACAAGTCTGGTCCCTCAGAAGTAATGGGTGACTCAAGTCCCACCTCTCCACTTTCCTCTCTCTCAGTGAACATTAATTGAGCACCTGCTGTGTTGAGCCCCGTGCTAGGAGCTGTGATGAGCACCTGAGGGTTAAGACATGTTGTCTTCTCTCATTGTCCAATAGGGAGATGACACGTGTACAGAAACAGTCACATCGTAAAGGAGAATGGGTCAGTGTCGTGGGAGGGTACAAACAGAAGAGAGAGACCGTGTGTGTCTGGGGGCAGGAATGGTATGGTAAGATAAGGTGGAACTGCAGCCCAGAGAGGGCAGCATCTGGGTCTGAAAGGAGGTGGACATTTTTATAGGCAGAGATGTGAGGGGTGACCCTCCCGGAGGAGCAAATGGCAAAAATAAAGGCACAGATGTGGGCAATCGTGGGGCTTGTCTGGGAAGTGGTCCATTTGCTGGGAGTGTAGAGAGTGTATCACAGAAGGAGGGGACGCTCCCTGCTGGACTCTGGTCAATAGGCAGTGGGGACCAGGCAAAGCTCTCTGGCAGCCTTGACAGGACTGGAATTGCTTTCCAGGAAGGCTGATCTGTGTCTGGCAGCAAGTGCAGGATGGATGGAGAATGGAAGGGGGAGAGGAGAGCTGGAGAGACAAGTGAGGGCCTCTGTCAGTGGTCCAGGTGCGGACAGTGGGCATGGCCAGGGAGGAGGAGGACGACTGTAGGCTCCAAGACAGACACTGTGTCTTATCTTTGCCCCTGCAGTCCTCAGCTCCTTGGACAGTGCCTGGCATGGGAGAGTTCCTGGACACATGTTTAAGATCGAAGACAAGTCTGGTCCCTCAGAAGTAATGGGTGACTCAAGTCCCCTGGCCGGTGCTCGCGGGTCTGCCTCCCTGAATGACTTTCTCACTTCAGTTGGAGCTGCTGAATTCTCCCCACCTCCCTCCATGCCGCCCACACCCCGAGCAGCTGAGGTTTCCCTGGCAGTGAGGGAGGCGAGATCTGAGCATGCTGGTAGCGAATGAAGGTCACATGATAAAGCCTTGGGGGCAGGACGTTTACTCACCGGAGAGGGGCACTTGAGTTGGGCTCGGCTGTGGGAGAAGTTGTTGAAGGTCGTCTTACGGCCCACTGGCTCCAGCTACAGACAGAAAAAGGACACCTTGACTCCCTCCAAAGCTGAGAGAGGCTTCCCAGGTGGAGGAAGTATCTCCCACCAGATTCTCTCCTTTGGAAGGGTGGGTTGAAACCAGCCAAGTGGCAAGACACAGACCGAGACCAGCAGCCAGGAGCTGACTGGAACTGACTTCTGACTCACAGTGTGACAAGCCACAGTCCGTCAGAGCAGGGCGGGACTCTGAGTCTATGCCCCTGGATTTACCGAGGAGGACACTGAGGCACAGGAGAGACTGACCTGTCCAGAGTCCACAGTGAGTTTGTGGAAGGGCTGGGACCAGAGCTTCCCTTGCCTGGCTTCCCTTGTGGGTGGCTGTGATTGCAGACACTGTATTTTCAATTTTATAAAATGGTGATAACCATACTTACCAACTTCTCGGAGTGCGTGGGGCTAGTCAATTTCGGGACAACTTTGAAAACATGTTGGTTTCCGTGACATCATTACTACACTTGGCTTGTCAACCTTTCTCACTTGAGCTACTTTGTATGTTTTTTGCATAGATGAAAAAATTTACTTGAAACATTCCTGGGAGTAACTGTGGTTCAGATGGGGTCTGCATGTACTTTTGATCCCAGGATCCCCTAAGAATGAGCTGGATGCCCCATCCCTGGCATCATTAGCCTGTAGCCTGCCCCCTGACATGTGGCCAGCACTGAGAAGAATGGACCCCTGGCACTGTCACCTATTTGCATACTCTGTCCTGAAGGTCTAGCCTCACCCATGACAGAATCTGCTTCCCTGCCTGTTACTGACCACCAGGTACTGCCCAAGAGAGAACTGGAAGTATGCTCTCCAAGCTAGTGAACACACTGGCCCCTGATCTCGCTTTCTGTTGGCATAAGGCCTTCTATATCTGTTTCCTAGTAACACACTTAGGGGAGGAAGGGTGGCCCTGGTCCTGGGGAGATGCCATGGTGACTGGACTGAGCACAGGGGGCAGATTGCTGGGGTCCTGGTTCTGCTGATAATGAACTGTGCAGGTTACTTAACCCACCAAGGTTAGGGCCAGGCAAGAAATCCTGCCCTTGGGTAGATTGTGAGCATCAAATGAGAAGATGACACAAAAGCACATGAGAGCAGGGGGTGGCTTACACACGTGAGATAGTGTTATGCCCACTTTCTTAGAGCTGAGGAAACTCGAGCCTATTGTAACAGAATCACCTAGTGACAGAATGGGTGCTAAAGGTCAGGTTGGCAGATTCCCAGTGATATTTCGGGAACCCAGGAACTAAGTGGCACAGCAGAAGGTCACGATCACATGGGTTTGAGCACATCAGTTTCTCCCTTTCTGCTGGTTCCTTCCGTCAGCACACAAGCTACTCTGATATCTCCCGTCCTTTGCCTGCCCTCTCCTCCCACATCCCCTCCACCTGCCTGGGCTATCCTCCTCATAACTTCCTGAAAGAGTTGCCCGTAGTCACTGGCTGCACTTCCCGACCTCCCGATCTCTCTACCACTTGTTCAGATCAGTCTACGGTCTCCATCACTGGACAAGCTCTGGTCAAGGTCGCCAGTGACCTTCATATGGTCATTTTGTCTTCATCTCACTTGGCTTCTCAGCAGCACTTGTCAAAATTGACACCCCCTCTTGCAACACTCCCTTCTCTTGGCTCTCTGGACATGCGTGCTCCACGTTTCCCTCCCTCGTTTCCCCCCCATCCCCTCATCTCTCACTGGCATCAAAAGTTGGAATGAAAGCCCTAGGGCTTGGTCGTTGGCCCTACATTCTTTTCTACCTATTCTTTCTCTAGGAGCTCGCACTTAATCCCACGGTTTAGAATATCACCTTTATGCTAAAGATTTTTTAAACCTCCAGCTTTGGCCTCTGCTCTGAGCTCCAGACTCCTATTATTTAACAGCATACCTAATACCTCTTTGTGGACATCTGGAAGGCAGTTCACACTTACCATGTCCAAAATAGAACCCTTGATTTTTCCCTCCCAGGCCGGTTGCTCTCTACCAATTCAACCATTCATCTGATTTCTTAGACCCCAAACCAAAAAGTCATCCTTTGTCCCTCTTTTCCCTCATCCATCGACCAGTCCAAAACACATCCCAAATCTGACCACATCTCTCTGTCTCCACAGCCATCACCGTGGTCCCAGACACCTTCATCTCTCGCCTGAACACCAAGTGGCCTCCTAATGGTCTTCCCAGTTCCGCTCTTGCTTCCTCCCAGTCCATCTCCATGCAGCAGCCAGAGCGTACAGCAGAGCATAGCACTCCCGGTTTAAAAGCATCCAAGGACCTGGCCCCTGCCCACCCCTTTGACCTTGCTAGCTTCCCTCCACTCATACTGGCCTTTAAGTTCTTCAGACACTTAAGCTCATTCCTGACTCCAAGCCCGCATAGGTCCTATTTCCTCTGTCTAGAACACTCTGGCCCCAGATCTCTGCCTGCCTGGCAACTTGTGACGTTCAGTTCACAGTTCACGTGTCAGTTCCTCAGTGAGGCCCCCATATTCCCCACCATTTCTGTCACATTACCCTGCTTGATTTTTCTTTTTTAAAGCCCTGAATGTGGTCAGAAATTACCTTGTTAATTTGTCTACTTGTTTATTCCCTGTCTTTTCTCCACTAGACTGCATGCTCCATGACAGCAGGGATATTTTCCTTTTCACTGCTGAATCTCTGCACCTGGAACGGTACCTACCACACAGTGGTGCTCAGTGAGTAGTTGTTGGATGGATGGAAGGATGGATGGATGAATTGAAGTCAGGAAGCCCTAAGGGGAGAAGCTGAGGGGAAGACGGCCTGGAGCTGACCACAGGAAATGGAGCTGTTTCTCCTAGAACCAACTTTTCCTAAGCCAGGCACTGTGCATAGCGATGGCATAGCAAATGACAGGACTGGGTAGGGTGAAATGGAGCTGGGAGGGCCACTGGCCTGCTCTGGGGATTCAGAGGAGGCTTCTTGCAGAAGCTGGCACTGGAGTTGACTGTTGAGGTGGGTGAGAAGGGCAAGCCAAGCTAAGGGGATGAGCAAGAGCAAAGACACAGGTGTGGAACAGCTTGGGTGGTGCAGGGAAGTCCACGAGTTCCTAGACTGCAAAGTGCGAGGCAGAGCCGGTGGGAGCAGAAGCCAGAGAGGCCAGCTCCTGGAAGGCCTCATGCGCTGTGCTAAGTGGCCTGGCCTCCTGTGTCCTTCGGAGGTGGGAGGCCTTGGAAGTTTGAAATCGAGGTAGTGACTTAGTCAGGTTTTCTTTTATACATATTACTTGGTTGCCCTCTGGAGAACAGATCTAAGGCATTGCTTTGTAAAGCCTCCACGTTAAAATCATCTGGGGAGTTTTTGAAAAGTACTAAATCCAGGTCCCACTGTAGGCTAATTAAGTCATTCTCTGGGGGTAAACCCAGCCAGGCACTGTGGGGTTTTTTTGTTGTTGGTGGTTTTTTTTTTTTAAGTAAACTTTTTATCGAAGCTAACATACACAGAGAAACAAGTACAAATCATTAGTGAACAACTGATAAATTTTGATAAAGTGAACATACCAGCATCCAGATCAAGAAACATAATACTTCCAGGACTCAGAAGCCCCCTTCCCACCACCTTCCGGTACTATTCACCCTCCAGTGAGAGACCACCATACTGACTTCTAACCCCATGTATTAAATTGCTTGATTTTGGAATTTATGTAGATTGTTGCATGTTGTTGAAGTTCGTTTATTCTCACTGCCCTAATATTTGATTGCGTGAATGTGCCACAGTTTATTCATTCTGCTGGTGGTGGACATTTGGGGAGTTTTCGGTTTGGGGCTATTATGAATAGTGCTGCTATAACAATTCTTGCGTGTATCTTTTGGTGGACACGTGTATACCTTTCTGTTGGGGATATACCTAGGAGTGGACTTGTTGGGTCACCGGAAATATATATGTTCGGTGTTACTAGATATGCTAAAGTGTGTTCCAAAGTGGGAGTAGGCACTAATTGTTTTTAAAAGTCCCCAGATAATTCCAATATGCAGCCACAGCTGAGAACTGCTGTTCTAAGAGCTGTAAGTCTGAGGAAGGGAGGCCCGTTAGGAGGCTGGAGTTGTCACCCTACACCTGGGGAGATGCAGATATAAGCTGAGAGTAGGATTTCTGCAGAAGAGGGAGCCAGCAGCAGTGGAGGAATAGGTCTCAGAAAAGAGAAGGAAAAGCTCCTTGAGAAGACAAAAGAAAGCACAGGAAAAGGAAACCATCCACTGGTACTGCTGGTGTTTTCAGCTTTGCTTTTGCAAAGGTCTCTGGAGAAGGAGGCATGAGCTATTAAGAGAGGAGGACAAGAGATGAAATGTGTCTGTTGCCCCAACAGGGCACCCTGGGAACATCAGCCAAAGCCTGCAGACACTATGTCACAGCACTTTAATTATGAGACATGAATTCACTGGTTATGTATGCACTTATCAGGTTGGGGGCTGAGGGAAGGGCGGTGTGTGGCCAGGACACTAGGGGAAGATGTGGAAAACCTTAACTCTAATCCTGTTGGGCCCCTAACTAGCCGGCTGTGTGATGTTGGGTGAATTGCTTCGTGTCTCTGTATTTTAGCTACAGAATGTTCTGGCTAGATGAATTCTCAGATCTGTTCCAGTTCTAACAGCCCATCATTTATTTTATATCACTCTAGGGGTGAAAATCCAGTAAGAAGATGATTTGAAAAGTTGGCGTAGTGCTATAGCTTTGTGTCTGAAATAATTTTGGATGAAAACATTGGACTATATAATTATTTCCCCCAAATTATATAGCACAGAGGAAGAAACTCGTGGATGATTTTAGTCTTGTTTTGCTTTGTTTTTGTTATTTTTAAATTCAGGGTATGGCTGTGGTAATAATGGATGGGGAATCACAGGTAGTCTTGTCTTCCCAATACAGTTCTATAGCAGTGTTCACCTTTTGTTTTCATATCTAAATCCCTCCCACTTGCCTGTATGAAGTAAGAGCCTCACCTGGGTGAATAGGAAGAACTACTGAGCTGCCTTGGAAGAGAAGGCAAGAACTATATTGTTAATTCACACAGAAAGAGACCAATGGACTCTCATGTTCGAATCATCAATATGGCATTGAGCCCTAGAAGATTCCTGGAGGTTCCCCACTTTGAGCACGCTTGGAGGACCCTGATGGAAAAGCTGGGAAGGAAAGGCCAAGGGCTTAGCTCTCCTGGCTTTTCTTGGAATCTGTGGATTCCCCCAAGGTCTTAGGGGAAAATGGGACAGGGAATAGATAGATACCTATTCACTGGGGAGATTTTTAAAAAGAATGAAGTCACATGGCTCAGCCACTGAAGGACAACGAGACTTCAAAACAAAATCCACAAAGAAACATAACTAGGCTCAGGAATTATAGTGTGCAAACTTTGATCTAAAAAATTACTGTGGGGGTGGGGAAGGCTGGGAGGGAACTCAACGATATTTTGATTGTGATTCAGAGTCCTGGGCTGAAAGAGTATGATGGAAGTTTCAGGAACAGGCAGGTATGTGGTATCAACAGGAGGAAGACCCCAGGACAACAGAAGTAGAGGAAAGCTGAGTCTGCAGTTAAACAGGCCGATGATGAAACCTGCTGACACGCTGTTCTGCAAAGAAGAGGTCGTTAGCGAGACGGAGGTGGTGTAGCCAAGGGGAAAGTCAACACCGTGAGTCAGCCGAGCAAGACCCTGGGCACGCTGGGCGAGCTGGCAGGGGTGGGCATCTGCACAGCGGTGGTTGGCAGAGACACCATGGCCCCGAAACTGCGGTAAAAGCAGCAGGAGTGTAGATTGTTTAGTTGTCATGGGAGAAACGAGGGAACACGCAGGTCGGGGTGGGGATTGGGTTATCCACCAAGCCTAGATCAAAAGAAGCCTTTCTGGGAAGTCATTTCATTTGCTCTGCACAAGAGGATCCAGCTGTTGCGGGTGACCAGCCAAGCCCTGTGCAAACACAGCTGATCGTTTAGTAGCGAAAAGGGTAGGGGTGAGGCATAAGGCCAGATGTTCCTGTGGCCCCTGTGCTGCATGTTCATTTCATAAGGTCCCCTTCCACCACATCAGAAAGGACTGAAATAGGTGGCAGGCTGGGAAAACAGGCTGTGTGCATCTTTACTTTTTTTTTTTTTCTTTTCCTGAAAGGAGAGGAAATTGAGAAGGGACTGAGAGTGGGGTGGGAGCTGCATCTTTACTTTTGCTGTTTAAAGAAATAATGGTTGGGAATGTGTTGAGACTGGAGTGTTGGAAGGTATTGGAGCTGACATTTGTTGAATGCTAATTATTCTGGGTTCTGCATATACAGTATCTCAATTTTCTGAGATCTGTGTCGTTTTCAATGTTACAGATGTTCATACAGATGGTCAGAGAGATCATTTGCTCAGGGTCACACAGTAAGTGGCTGAAGCTTATATTTTGATGCAGTCTATCTGTTTACAAAGTTACTCCCTCCAGTATGTTTCCACAGGGTGGTATGTGGGTGTATAAAGTTGAATACACACACATGTAAAGTGTACTGCCATTTCGAGCTTTGGGGAGAAAGGAGCCTTGTCAGCTAGTAGGTTTGTCACTGTGGGACTTAGAGTCAATATCCTTAGATTGCCCCCTTTGACACAAGCCCATCAGGCCCTCAGCCACTCACCATGTTGTTCCAGAGTGCAATGGCCATCTGGGCATGACCACGTTCTGAGAAGTAGAAACAGTCCTTGGAGAAGAAGGTGAGGTCAGCAGTCCCTTTCTGTGACCGAGGACAAGGAAATTACCATCCAGGGAGAAGGCACTGCTCTCTGCCCCTCTCCTCCCAGAAGGTACCCAGGGCATGCCTCCTTTCAGCCTCTCAACATTGCTGCCCACTGGCTCAGATATTGCTGGAAAAACTCCCAGATTTTGGATTTTCTTTTTAACAGACATGAATTGTAGCTGTCCACAGACACAATCCATCCCTTCAGCACCCCTGGCGTAATAGTTGAAAATCAGTATTTTTAGGAAGCTTTCCATTCTACCCCAATCCAGCAAATATCAGGTCCATGCCTGGGGAGTTTGGTCACTATTGATTTTCTACTTTTCTTTCCAAGTACATCTAAATTCCAATCATGCCAGGAAAAAAAAAAAAGAAAGAAAGAAAAAAAGGAAAAGAAATAAAAGCAGAAAAAGCAACCCTTGGGAGTCCTCTTGGAGAGAGATGGTCAAGAAAAAGCCCACTTACAGAAGGAAATACATTCATCGCCAAAGACAATGCCTCCCCACACGAGGCATCCAGAAATCCCCACAGCTCACCTCATTCAGCGGGAGGAGAGTGTTTCGGAAGAAAGGCTGCACGACAACGGCAAAGTCCTCGCGCTGCAGGTACTGGCGCCAGTAGGAGAACCTGGAGATGGCACTCTGGGGATGGGAGGAGGTTGCTCAGCCCTCGTGGCAAGGCTGGCAGACAGGGTCTATTCCTGTGGCCTTGGGCAGCTGTGGGGGGGGGGAACCCACCCTGGACAAAGGTGACTTAAAGGAGTCACTTTTATACGATACAAACATTCCTGAATTCTGCACCTTTTGTGAGCACCTGCATTTTCAGGCTCTACGCTGGTCCTCAGGACCAGAGGTGAGCTGAATCTAGTGGTCCCTGGTTGGAGAAGCTCCCCATCTGCAGGGCTCCACCAGCTCATTGTGAAACCTCTGCAGGGCTGGACCTGAGCCACTGACCAGGCTTCCTGGACCAAAGGCCACCCCAGCTCTCACTGCATGAAAAGGTTGATTAAAACATGGGCTCCATCCAGTTCACATACAGCTCACATGGGGAGCATCTCAACACTGGCTCCCCCAAATGCCTGTGAACTTTGGGGGATGAGAGTCCACAGTCATTAGATTTTTTAAGTGCCAAAAAAGGGAATGTAAAAGGAATAGACTAGATGTACTTATCCTCAAGGAGTTTATCACCTGTTTGGAAAAATGGGACAAGATGTAAAAACATTAGAACCAGAGAAGGCTTTAAAGTCCATCGACTGCAGGCTGAGTTTGGTATGGGGAGATATCTGAGAGTGAAGTTTACTCAGGGGAAGCTTCTTCGAGGAGGAAGGAAGACTTGCCTCATGAATGAAGATGGATCAGTTTCCAGAAAGGCTCAGGGTGGGCATGTCCAGCGAGGGAAAGACGGGAGCAGACAGGACGGGGGTGGGAAGAATTTGAGGTGGGGGTAAGTAGGGTGNGGATTTTCTTTTTAACAGACATGAATTGTAGCTGTCCACAGACACAATCCATCCCTTCAGCACCCCTGGCGTAATAGTTGAAAATCAGTATTTTTAGGAAGCTTTCCATTCTACCCCAATCCAGCAAATATCAGGTCCATGCCTGGGGAGTTTGGTCACTATTGATTTTCTACTTTTCTTTCCAAGTACATCTAAATTCCAATCATGCCAGGAAAAAAAAAAAAGAAAGAAAGAAAAAAAGGAAAAGAAATAAAAGCAGAAAAAGCAACCCTTGGGAGTCCTCTTGGAGAGAGATGGTCAAGAAAAAGCCCACTTACAGAAGGAAATACATTCATCGCCAAAGACAATGCCTCCCCACACGAGGCATCCAGAAATCCCCACAGCTCACCTCATTCAGCGGGAGGAGAGTGTTTCGGAAGAAAGGCTGCACGACAACGGCAAAGTCCTCGCGCTGCAGGTACTGGCGCCAGTAGGAGAACCTGGAGATGGCACTCTGGGGATGGGAGGAGGTTGCTCAGCCCTCGTGGCAAGGCTGGCAGACAGGGTCTATTCCTGTGGCCTTGGGCAGCTGTGGGGGGGGGGAACCCACCCTGGACAAAGGTGACTTAAAGGAGTCACTTTTATACGATACAAACATTCCTGAATTCTGCACCTTTTGTGAGCACCTGCATTTTCAGGCTCTACGCTGGTCCTCAGGACCAGAGGTGAGCTGAATCTAGTGGTCCCTGGTTGGAGAAGCTCCCCATCTGCAGGGCTCCACCAGCTCATTGTGAAACCTCTGCAGGGCTGGACCTGAGCCACTGACCAGGCTTCCTGGACCAAAGGCCACCCCAGCTCTCACTGCATGAAAAGGTTGATTAAAACATGGGCTCCATCCAGTTCACATACAGCTCACATGGGGAGCACAGGGCTCCACCAGCTCATTGTGAAACCTCTGCAGGGCTGGACCTGAGCCACTGACCAGGCTGCCTGGACCAAAGGCCACCCCAGCTCTCACTGCATGAAAAGGTTGATTAAAACATGGGCTCCATCCAGTTCACATCCAGCTCACATGGGGAGCTTCTCAACACTGGCTCCCCCAAATGCCTGTGAACTTTGGGGGATGAGAGTCCACAGTCATTAGATTTTTTAAGTGCCAAAAAAGGGAATGTAAAAGGAATAGACTAGATGTACTTATCCTCAAGGAGTTTATCACCTGTTTGGAAAAATGGGACAAGATGTAAAAACATTAGAACCAGAGAAGGCTTTAAAGTCCATCGACTGCAGGCTGAGTTTGGTATGGGGAGATATCTGAGAGTGAAGTTTACTCAGGGGAAGCTTCTTCGAGGAGGAAGGAAGACTTGCCTCATGAATGAAGATGGATCAGTTTCCAGAAAGGCTCAGGGTGGGCATGTCCAGCGAGGGAAAGACGGGAGCAGACAGGACGGGGGTGGGAAGAATTTGAGGTGGGGGTAAGTAGGGTGGGGCCAAGCCTAATGTTCTTAAGGAGGGGAGGGCGGAGTGGAGTAGAAAGGAGGGAAGCAGGGAGGCCAGGGCAGTGACCGCCATCCCTCTCCTCCTTGGGTAGAGGTGGTGCCCATAATGCTCGGTTCTGGGTGGGGGCTGGACCTACCACATGGAGTCTACTCTGGGAGCCCAGTGCTGCTCACAAGTGCTGCTCACAAGTGCTGCTCAGGCCTGAGCTGGGGCTGGGAGGTGGGGACTCTCCCAGCTCCCACTTTGGGATTTCTCGCTCCCCTCCGTCCCTGGTCTTGGTGTTCAGTTCGCCTGGATAAGTATTTCAGGGGCTGTGATCTGCCTTTTAGGGAGTGGCTGGCTCTCAGTCAACCCCTGCTGAACACCTGATTTGATTTCCGAGTCCTTGCTCAGGGAGCACAGGGGCCTCCTGGCTGGCCGGGCAGGAAGAGGAGGGCTGTGGGCTCACCTGAAAGTTCCAGTTCACTTTCTTCAGTTCCAACATCTCTGGGGAGTTTTGAGAGTGTTTGAGGCAAGAGCATTCACTCCTGGAAGACAAGGAACCTTGTGTCGAGGCTCCCTGGGGTGGCTGGGCTCTGTCCTCCTGGGAGGCTGACTGTCACAGAGGAAGCAGCTCCCCACAGGGACCTGCAGCCCGTGCTGCCTCACATGGGGTAGGGGCAGAGAGCGACACACAAGACCCCCCAGAACACACCCCTAGCTGACTCCTGGACCCAGGTCACAGAACCATAGTGCAGGGCATGAGGTCTGGAAGGTGCTCACTTAGAGAGAAGCAGAAGAGCCGGTCCCTGATGTTGGGTCTCGCTGCAGAGAGGCTGCCCACTCCCCTTGCCCTTGTCCACTCCTTCCCAAGCCTGTGGCCCCTGAGATCTCTCCAGAGAACGATTGTCTTTTGGTTTGGAATCACTCTTGTTCCAGAGGCCTCTCAGCTCTAGTTCTAACTGCATAGGACTCTTCCTTAGGGCTCCAGCCCACTGGGAAGCTGGGGAGGGTCAACCAGCTTGAAACACCTCTGACAAGGTGGAACACAACACCAGCAGACTCTGGAGGAACCATCTCGATCCCCCAACCACTGGCCACTCCAGCTGGGGGCAGGGTTCCCAGAGAGCATGGGAACCAGCTGGTCACCTTCACTGCAAATCTACTCGACTCCAGATAGGACTCCTCAGCTCCCTGCAGAATCTTCTCCCCCACAGCAATAGTCATACAAACTCTGGGAGCCCCTCTGGCCTCAGCTTTAATGAATTCTAGCCCCCAACAGGAATTCTTGTCTTGCCTGCCAGTGCCTTGCCTGTAAGCCCAGATTTCAAGGACAGATCCTATCAAAGACAGAATAAAAACTACTGTTTCCTGAGAGTCTCAGGTGGACCAGTCACCTTCCACGCATTTATTTCTCAGCTTCCCATCCACCCTGTGAGGAAGGTATCCCCATTTTACAGGTGAAGAGTAAGAAGCCCACAGAGATTATATGGTGTGTTCAAGGTGCCATAGCTCCTAAATGGCAGAGCCAGGACTTGAGGCCAGCTGTATCTGTCTTGAAAGCTCACTGCCCTATGCGGCCTCTCAACAGGGAGCAACTTGCCAATGTTGGACTTTGGAATCATAGACAATGTCAGGGAGCTTTAAGAATAATTTGGTGTGTCTCTCTGACTTTACAGAAAAGCAAACTGGGGTCCAGAGAGATGAAGGGGCTTGCATACAGTAGGCATCCAATAATGCAGAGGCACTTCCAAATGGTTTTCCAAGCCCTGGGGTAATTGCTCATGTCTGCCTTCTGGACAGGCCTGCCTGGCTCTGCCTGTACTGGTCTCCTCCTTTGGCGTCTGTGAGCCCTCCTCTCCCCAGGTGCCCTTGCCCATAGTCCGTGACCCATCCACTTACTGAGTTGCCAGCACAACACAGTTCCCTCTCTGACCCTGGTGCAGGACAGCCATATCCATGACCTCCACCACATTGACGAACACCCTTGGAAGCTGTGGACAGCAGAGAGGTGGGCTTCCTTAGTCCCCAGGCAGTTCTGGGAAAAGGGCACTGGCCACTGCAGGAAGGAGCCTGGGGATCATCTATAATCTACCTTGCCCCTCCCCAGTTTTACCAATGAAGAAACTGAGGCCTAGAGAGGGGAATGTAACTTGTATTATCTCACTGAATCTTCTTTAGTGCTCCCACTTCACAGATAGAGAAGCTGAGACACAGAGCAGTCACTTGCCCAAAGTCATGTTGCTAGTAAGCCACAGTGCCCAGCTGAAAACCAAGGCCAACTGGCTCCAGAGGCAAGCTCTCTGCTGCTGCACAGTCTGGTTAGAATTTCCTCTGCAAAGGAGCTTGGAGCTGCCTGCCTCCCATGCCATCCAGGTTACCACTCATGGCAGTCTCTGCTCAATGTGCATCTAACTGAACAAAACCTGCCTTGATGCACCCAGGGAGGGAACCCCCCAGTGAGGGAGCAGACAGGCAAGTTGCTGGGAGGACCCGGGAACGTGTAGTTGCTCTTTCCTACCTTCTCATAGAGGATGTCCAGGGCCTTTTCGATGTGCTTTATATACTCCCTGGCTGGGTAGGTCACCTGTGAAGAAAAAAGGGGCTCGCTTCAGACACTGGCTTCCACTCTGAGAAGAGAACAAGAGCACAGGAGAGCCCTGGGGCTTGGGCTGATGGCAGAGTAGGTACAGAGGTGGTTCTGGCCAGGCTGGGAAGCACAGTCCTTATTGCTGATTGACACAGAGTCTCTTGTAAGAAGCTATCCCTGACTCCTCCAAGACACCATGAACAGTCCCCACCCCCACCACACATCTCAAACCCAAAGGCAGACTGATGGGGCGGGGCCTGGCAACTTCTCCAGCCACTTTCAGTGCCCCTGACGACCACACTCTTTCCTCTGGGCTCTGGTCCGTGCTGGTCCCACTGTCTGGAACCCTTGGCTCTCCTGTATCCCCCTAACTTCTACTATTCCTTATGACTCAGCCAAGGGTCTCTTCCTCTGACCCATCTCCCCGACACGAGGCTGATTTAGAGGTGTCCCATAGCATCCTGGGTGATGCGTATAAGGTAGATAGTAGATGCTCACTAAATGCTTGCTGACAGAATCTTGGGGCTTTATAGTGTGAGGAAGACAAGCATATGTTTTTGGATATGGCTCTGAGCTCCTTAGGAGGTTTCAGGAGACTGATACCCGAGGGTGGGTGGTGTCTGGACGCTGTCATACTAAACACAGAAGAATGCAAGTGTGCAGGAGCTGAGGCGCCCAGGAAGCAGCACCAAACACTCCTGTAGGAGGCGAGAGCTCAGGCAGCCTGTTAACTTTTGAGACAAAGTGCTGAGGCCAGGTGAGATTATGTGTGCTCAGTGCTGTGTGCTGGGTGCAGAAAAGTGCTCCACAGATACCCGATCTCTGATGAGTTCCTGCCCACAGCCACCTGAATGGGTGCTGGGAGTTGGGGTTGGGTGGGGGAGTGAGCAAGAAGACAGTCCATGCTGAAGAGTTAAAACAGGAGAGGGACTGTGGGGGTCCAAGGGTTTCTGTCCCCACCCCTACCCCCTGTCCTTTCACACCTTTCACAAAAAGATGCTCTCAGATGTATAAACCTGACTTCGCATGGGGAGCTAGTACAGGGCATTTCCCTACACCAAGTGTCTGCAGGCAGTTCTGGGATCACTTCTGGTTTCCAGGCATCCCCGGCGTCGAGGCCACAGCAATATTTAAATCCTCATGGGGTTGGGTCGCTTCTGCATCTAATGTGTGGGCGATGTGGGGAAGGATAATTCTCAACAAGACTTTGCTCGTTGGTCCCCACGAGCCATGAGGAGTGACAAATGCCTTCTTCTCCCCACCCCACGTGACTGTCAAACATTCTACCAGAACCTCTGAGTGAGGGCAGCTGCCTTTTTCTCGCCAAATCAAATATAGGATGTCCTCAACTTAGAACAAGTTGTATTCCAAAAGTTATAACTTAAAATTTGTAAGTCTGGACAAATTCCCCGTGGAAACATTAGGAATGAGGCTGGGGTCCAGGGCCAGCTGGCTGAGGTTGGTTAACTTGTGACATCCTGGAGGGCAGCAAGCCACACTATCAGGACTAGTTCAATTTTATCCAACCCCATATATAACATTGTTTCATCTTCCCCTCCCCCCTCAAAAACTAAAACAAACAGGGCAGGGACTCCAGGCAAGCCTGGGTGGGAATTGCTAGTTACCTAGCTGGAATATGTGTGTGTGTGTGTGTGTGTGTGTGTGTGTGTGAGTGTGTATATGTGTGAGTGTGTGTGAGTGTGTGCGTGGGAGAGGTGGCCTCTTCAGCAGGGCCCAAAGAGCAGGTCCATCTAGACCTTCTGCTGGAATCGGGGAACCACCGTGGCTGCTTTCCCAGGGGCCGTTCAGGCAGTAGAAAAGGCCAGGCCCTCACCCAGCATGTGTGAGTCAGACGCATGGGACTCCCATGAGGGAGAAGCATGGGTGGAGGCCAGGGCCTGAGCAAAGACAGGACAGAGGTCAGCAAATTCCTTCCCAGCTCCCCCATGGGGTTGGTCAGGGGCCTACCCGATTCTCGCAGTAATGACACAAGTCGTTGCCCCCAATGAAGAGTGTGACCAGCTTCCAGTCTTTCTGCAGGTTGATTTTCTGAGGGGACAGAAGATCCTGAGTTCAGGCCTTGGTGGGGGGCACGTGCAGGTGGTGCCTACCAGGCTAGCCAGCCAGCCCCCTCCCTGGTGCCTTTCACCCTCTTTGTGGATTTCAATGGAGAGAAGATGCACAGTGGGGCCCCCAACCCTGAACTTGGTGCCTCAGGAGAGAAGCTCGACAGGAATGTGTGTCTGCTCACACAGCAGTGAAAGGCTGTTTTCCCCCTGAAATCATCTAAAGAAAGCTGCAGCCCGCCGAGAAATAGAGAGTGGATGGTTCCACACTTCCCTGAGCCCATGAAAGGCCAAGCGAATAAACAACCCCTGAAATGCGATCTAAAGACCTTGGAAAGAGCTGGGGGCAAAGATACGGTTGGAGGCAGAAGCCCAGTGCTGCGTCCTGGAAGAGCTCTTAGGCGCTGAGTCCGAGAAGGGGAATCTGGAGGAAGAGCCCAGCATGGACTGAGAGGTGGGGTGGGGGCTGGGGAGGCCCCCACAAGAGCTGGTTTCCCACTCAGCCACCACCATAATAGGAGTCCTGCCAGGAGCTTAATTCCGAGGCATAAACCCAGTGCATTAAAAAGAAAAAGTGCTGGTGAGAAGTTTCAGAGGGGCAGGGTGAGTGGGAAGGAGGAAAGATTGGACTGGAATCAGCAGCCTATTTTTAGAACCTTGTGTTTACATAATAGGGCTCTGAGAAGCCAACTCTTGGTTAAAGCAGGAAGCTGCCAGAGGCCAAGGCTGAGATCTCAGCCAACTCTCTGCTCCACCTCGCCCTACTGCAGCCGGGCCTAGGGGTGGATATGCCTGGGACAAGAGGGCAAGCAAAGCGGGAGCCTCTGTGGGGAGGCCTGCTCCTTAGGGGTCCGTGTGGTCTTTCTTAGGCGCAAGCCCAGAACAGGAGTTGCTATGGCACAGAGGGGGTTCTTATAGGGCTGTGTTACTCTCCCCAGCCAACTGGGCACATTTCAGGGGTGGCCTGGGTCCTGTACTCACGGGGCTGTTTTTCATTAGCGTCACCAGGTTCTGGGCCTGGACTGGCATGTCCCTAGTCAGAGAGAAGAGAAGGGGGTGTTAGAGCTGGCTCAGGAGCAAGGGCTCAAGCCATGGGATTTTGGCCTAGGAGGAGAGGTGCTTCAGAACGAATAATGTTATACAAAGTTTGTTCCTTCAGAATGTATCGAAAGGCTTTCCATTCTTAAGAAATCTCAGCCTAGTAATAACCAAAGGCCTGCCATGGGCCTCGGGGCCACATTGGTCCAGCCCTCCTTCAGCAGGGCTAAAGGGGGCCACTTGGGTTGGGATCTGGTCAACCTTCCCACCGGGGATCTCCCCTTACATTTCATCAGGCTTTTTCATTGCAAGTGGAGCCCGTTCATTTCTTATTCGGTTGCCTATTTTAAGAATAACCTTTTGTATATTTGAACAAAGTCACAGCCCTAAATTATCCCTCAACTTTCTCCTTTCCAGGCTTAATGACTCCTTTAATCTTTACTTCTGAGCCCCACTCTCTGCTCTTTAGTCCTTTCGTTTTTCTTCTCTGTAGTTACTCCAGATTTCTCTATCAGTCCCCTTCTTTGCTTTTTATTTACTTATTTATTTTTGCCCTTCCAACAAAATAGGATGGGGGAGACAAATATGATCTCCTTTCATCCCCCACGTGTCTGCCATAAATAAAATGATGCCATTGGGTGTTCTGGATAAGAGATATGTACGTCGATGGAATAGTACTCAGCAATAAAAAGGAATGAACTATCGATATAACCAACAACATGGATGAATCTCAAATTAATTTTGCTAGATGAGAAAAGACATGAAAAAAGAGTGCCTATTCTTTGCTTTCATTTATATAAAATTCTAGAAAAATCAAATTAATTTATAGTGACAGAAAGCAGGTCAGTGGTTGCCTGGGGAGTGGGTAGAGACCAGAAGGGGTGGGAGGGAGAGATTACGAAGAGCATGAGAAGACTCCTGTGGGTGATGGACATGCTTGTTATCTTGATTGTGGGGATGGTCTCACAGGTATACACATGTGTTGAATTTATCAGATCGTATACTTTTCATATGTGCAGTTTATTGTGTGTCAATTTTACCTCAATAATGTTGTTTTTTCTTTTTTAGAAAAAGATATGTATATGAGAAGTTAAGTCAACAAAAGGGATACTCGGGCCGGCCCGTGGCTCACTCGGGAGAGTGCGGTGCTGATAACACCAAGGCCCCG